AAAAATGGACAAAAAAAATTATAGGGGGTTGATAGGGGATCAAGGATGAGTTGAGGGGAACGATAGGGCTGACGAAGGGCGATAAGAAACAGGGGAAATTAAAACAGAAGCCCATGTCATGATTCTTTGTAAGCTTACTAGGGTTTTTCAGTTATGTTTTCTATTTTTTTTCCAAAAAATGAACAGGAATCATTGACTCGAGAGCAAATTGGAGGTAAGTTTGTCAAACAATAAATACTGAGCAGTATAAGACATGTTTTAAATTTCTGACTAGACCGCCTCAGTGTAGCAAATATGGCACCTCAGATTTAAGCTGAGTAAACAAACCTCTGAAATGAAAGAAAGAAAATTTCTACAATGTTTAATCAGGCTCTCTTTTCAGATTTGGGAAGTTGATACGTTATACGGTAATTTCAGCTCACTGAGCCAATTTGAATTCCTCGAAAAAACAAGATCAAATAATATTACACCACTAGTTTAGTCCCAAGCGATCTCTATACAACATTTAACAGATAGAGTAAGGCAATGACGTAATGTTCTATAATAGGACCCAGGTTTTTTCACGTCCAAAACTTGATAGGTCTGGCACTAGTCAGCCACCATACAAAGAGCTAACGCATGTGGAAACAGCAAACAACTGAATCAGAAATACAGCGTTCTTGTTTATTGTAAATTGCAAAAGCTGTGATAATGGAATCGCACAGCGTCATTTCAGTCGTTTATCAGTCCATTCATCCACTGCATTATTGGGTCCCATCTAATTTTGCTTACTTTTTCGTCTGATGCTGTTTACCTTTGTAGAATACCGGGAAGCCTTTAAATGCTTTGATTTGAACGAAAATGGAACATTATCGACCAAGGAGTTGAAATATGCCATGCGCATGCTCGGATCAAACCCAACCGATTCCCAAGTGCAAGAGCTGGTGAATGAAAAAGATTTTGATGGTAAGACACTCTGTTTGTTAATCACGCTTGTTGTTCACTTACTGATTGGACCTGAGTCAGTGTCTCCGTGCAGTCCTTAACTCCGAATAGTTTTCTTGTTGTACTCGGCTCGACATCGAGTCTTATTACCTGCCCTACATTTCTATTTCCATGGAGCAGAGTAAAAGGCGCACGACGTCAATCTTCACAGTGCTCGTATTTTCGTAAAAAACCGATCTTACCCGAAGACATCTGAAAATTTTCGTCGATTTGAGTTCATTTTATGCCATAAACTTTGGCGTAAGAAATCAGTTGGCAGGCTTGCGCAGGCACGGGCTATATTTTGACTTTCTTTTTTTTTGCACGCTGATGTGTTTATTAAGTTTGCAGAAATTACTAACTGGTCCCTCCTGGTAGTGAGCAGATCAAAACGATAATAATATTTTCTTAAAATCTGGAGAGAAAAACGTTTGCACTTATCCTCGAATTTTTTTTCTTTCCTTCCAATAGGAGATGGGACGATCAATTTTGAAGAATTTGTAAATATGATAGAGGATCAAAATAGCGCGGAGGACGAAGATAATTTATTTACGATATTTAGTGTTTTCGACCCTGAACATAACGGCTTTGTTGAGGGAAAAAACATAAAGAAGTCTCTTCTTTGTCTGGATGATGTTCCCGTAGAGGAACTGGATGAAATTATACAAAAAGCCGGAATAACAGATGACAGAAAATTAACTATGGAAGGTAAGATCTTTAATAATTAACCCTTAACTCCCAAGATCAAATTGTTAACTCTCCCCTCAAGCTGCTACACATTTGTTTGTAAAGTATTGATGAGAATTTGGTGTTGAATCAGGATGACAACTACCTGATAAGTTTGAATATTCTCATTTTCTATTTGCTGGATAATGTAAGGATGTTATAAGGAGAAGTTTCATGTTGATCACTTCTGGGAGTTAAAGGGTTAAACCGTGTGGCAATTTTCAATTGAGAGTCGAAAATAATCCGAGACTGCTTATGTTTTGCTTAACTTCGCTCTGTGATTGGTCAAGAAAATTCGCGTCACCTCAACCAATCAGATGCAAACTAAAACCATTCAGCACTTCGTCACCGGCGTTCTCAGGCGCTTTAAGCAATTTGGTCGTTCGGTTCTCTCATTTTAAATTTAGTTCATGTAATTAAATAAGTCAAATTTAGTTTGGTGTTTATTGTCTTTTAATTGAAAAAGATCGCAAATCATACTTTCTCTTGTCATTTTATTTCAGAGTTTTCTACTCTTCTCGTACCACTGATATACAAGTCAGGAAGAATACTACGATATCATGAAAAAACCTGGACAAGAAGCAACAATTTTGAAGCGATCTCAGAGTCAAACGTTGAATATATTTAAAAGTATTTAATTTATTAGACCATTACATGATATAATAGATAATGTTTCTCTTACTTTGAGCGGTAGAGACAATTTCTTCCCTGAAATACAAAACCGGATTTTGTTTGTCTTCGTACAAACATCGAATTTCTAGGTGGTCTCGCAATAATGTTTTGAATTAGGTCTGGAGGAGCTTAGAGATAAGAACATTGTATACTTTTTTTTTTTTTAAGAAAGGGTGCAGTACACTCTTAGATAGGTAACGAAAATGATCAAGTGGTTTTAACTGACGCTTAAACAAAACTGTGTGCATGGTTTTCCTCTCGAAAATTGGGAAATTTTGACGGTCGAAAGTGATCTGAGCATGCATTGGATTATTCGCTTTATTTCGCGCTGTGATTAGTTTACGAATCTCACAACACGTTCTCAACCAATCAGATTCAAATTAAAACCAATCGCGAGTGTCTCACTCGCATTTTTTCGCGCCTCAGGAGGTTTGCTGCTTTCAACTTCGTTTGAGCGTTCCATATTGCCTTTTTGACATATTTTATTCGCTCTGATTGGTTTTTCGGCACCAGATCAATAGATAGCTATCCGTTTACTGCCTGACCCCCTCCAAAAACAAGTATTTTTAAGATTGCGTCTTCCGTCTTTTACGGCGTAAAGCCTGGGCTAATCTCAGAAGCGTTACGTAAACTTGCGTGACGCATAAGAAGGTCACG